TTCCTATGGGGGAGGAAAAAATTCACAAAAAATTAATGAAGACTCAGCAACTGTTCTAAATTCTTGGGTTCGTTAGAGGACCCCCTAAGTTGTGTGCAAACCTGATTTTGCTTTGATCTGAACTTTCGTTAATTTTTTGTAAATTGTTTTCTCCCCCATAGGAAAGCATGGAGCTGTCAGATTTTGACAGGTCCATTGGTTCCTATGGGCCAAAGAACAAAAATTCACAAAAAATTAACGAAACGTCAGATCAAAGCCAAATCAGGTTTGCACATGACTTAAGGGGTCCTCTAACGAATCCAAGCATTTAGAACCGTTTTGGACCCTTCTAAGACACTTTTTAAATTGAAAACAAAAAAAACGTTAAGCGAAGCAGGGGACCTAAAACCAAAAACGTTAAGCGAAGCATGGTCCCAAAAACGCTATGCGAAAATCGCCCATAGGGAAAAACGTTATACGAAGCACAATCTGCCTCTGAAAAAATAAACGTTAAGCGAAAAAAACGTTAAACGAAGCAAACGTTAAGCGAGGCACCACTGTATATCTTAAACCAGGTGGAGTGCATGCTCCCAGATCTGCTGTCTTCTGATGGCAAATTTAATTGAAATGGTTTGCTCAGTTTAAGAAAGCCAGCCTTCTGCTACCAGTTCGCACCTAGTAACATTGCTCTTCCATACCCATAGAACCCAATTGTGCAGACAGCAGGCCAGTAGCAATCCTTAAGACAAGAACGTGTAGACCAGAGGAGATTACTTACAGAGCAAAAATATCTGGAAATGTCTAGTCCAGAGAGGCTAAGCCCTTTGCTGCTGAGGAAGACAAAGGTAACCCAGGGTCATACTGACAGCTTGATCTTGTGGAAAACTTTCTCAGCCCTCAGCTTGGTGATCATTCACACCCTAAAAATGGGCAAAACTCATTCAGGCTGATGTCAACAGGAAATTTTTATGAGAAATATTTTCCATGTGACCCACGGTGTGTGTTGTCAGTTTCCGGTGCATTGGAGGAAGTGAAGAAAAATGAAGGAACCATGCAGTGTAAGGGCAGAGCCTCACGCGGCCTTTTCCACCAAATTGCTGTATTGTAGTTTCGAATACAGAAATACCCCACGGGGTAATAAGATCATCATTTGCAAGCTTTGTCCATGTTGGGTATAATCCGTCTCAAATCACTTTTTCAGTAACAGCAAAAATTAGGCAGCAAAAATTGTATTATATTAATGCAGATAAATATAAAGTGCCTTGCTTTGCATTGTTGCTGTTGAAATAAAACCTACATCTGTTATCCGACTCCGTTGCTGTGTGTGTTAAACATTTCAAAACCTCAGCTGTCTGGACTCATTCTTCCATGATAGTTTTCAGCATAACCTAAATGTTCTTAACTTTATTATTTCCAAAATGCCTTTTTGTTATCTTTTTGTCTTGAAACCTAAAGCACATTCTTGCTACAGGTCCCTCTTGGACATGGTTAGAGGAACTGTTCTCCACAAGTATTTTGAAGCTACTGTAGAGGCTGGGAAGTCACTGGAAGCCTTTTACATAAAAATTAAATGTGTGTACCTCTGCGTGATTGCCATTTAGGTTGCCAGATTGTCAAATGAGCCATGACTGCACACATTTCGGTATATGTGCAGACATGCATCGTCTGTTGTTTTGCTTTCCCTCCAGGTCCAGCACATGTTCCTATGATGTCACCGAACGGTTCTGTGCCTCCCATATTTGTGCCTCCTGGCTATGTATCTCAGGTAAATTCATAACATCTTTTGAATGCTTTTTCCAGCGAAAGAGAGGATTCGGTAATGCTTCAAAAGGATTTTAAATGACAAGCACTGTAGACGTGGGTGCTTCCTCTCTTTCCATGCTTCTTGGTCACGTCCAGGCTTCTGATTTCATTGAAGCCTTAGTGCAGACATACAACTTCCTGGTCTCTTAGTCGTGGTTAGGAAATCTAGAGCCTCCTGTGGCAGGTTTATTGGATCTTTTTTCACCTTTGTTCTCTCTTTTCCCCGTCTGACTTGTTTTTTAACTTTAATATTAATCATTACAGGAGAACCTCTGTATCCACAGGGTTAGTACCCACAGTTTCACTTATCTGCTACCTAAAAATATCATTAAAAAAAACAGTACAGTTGCCCAGGGTGCATTACCAGAAACAGCCACTAGAGTGAACAGGAGACTATGCTCTATACTCTATAGTGTTTCTATATCCACGCTTTTCAGCATCCACAGGAGTGAGCTTGGAAGTGATATCATGGATACCGCAGTCCTATTTATTTATTAACTTATTTATTAAATTTATACCCCACCCATTTAGACCCAATTCTACTCGGGGCGGCTAACAATAAAAAATTGCATAAAAGCAATATAATAAAATAGAGAACAACAATAGCAATATCATTCAAGATGGGGGAAAAGATAAAAATAATCAAGTGATGACAGGAGGGAAAGCCTGCCTAAAGAGCCAGGTCTTAAGCTGGCTCTTAAAAACACCCAGCAAGGGAACCAGACAGATCTCTGAAGGGAGACTGTTCCAAAGGCGAGGGGTCCTGCTGTTGTATTGTGTGGACACCATTGCTTAATCCTGACTGTGGTTGGCTTTAAACCAGAATTTGAAAATACTACAGTAACTCTTAACCTGTATATAGATTCACCGTAGTTAAAGGAAGGCTGACTGCAGTGCACAGCTTACGTGAAGCTCCAAACCTTGCTTGAGATCAGGAAGCCAATTTTTCCTGTTTACTGGTTTCTTGTGGTCCGCTTTCTCTCCATATCACCACCAAGCAGGGTACTGGAACCAGGAAGAAATTACAAGTAACTTCCCTTAGTCTTACTTTAAGCCAGTTTTCTTTTCTTTTCTTGTTTGTGGTTAGAACCAAAGAAAGGAGGAGAAACAAAAGGAAATGCTTTGATCAGTGCTCAGCCTTGCTGGTCTGAGCAACACCTGAGTGTCAAAGTTGTTTAAAACCTGACCTTTGGTCTTTGGTCTAAGATGGCAGCAGAAACTACAGCCACTGCTTCTTCCTAATAAGAAAAGAACTTTCCCAGTCTATACTTAGCCCGTTTCCCTGAAAATAAGCCCTAGTATGATTTTTCAGGATGCTTGTAATATAAGCCCTACCCCAAAAATAAGCCCCAGTTAAGTGAAACCCTGCCCTCCACCCTTGTGCAGCAACCAGCAGAAAATGACATAACTGTAAAATAAAACATCCCCTGAAAATAAGCCCTAATGCATTTTTGGAGCAAAAAATTAAAGGGGCCTTTTGTTGTTTTTGCTGACGATGGATCATTTCATGAGGCCAGTGCCCTTCGTTACTTCTACAAATGCACAGTGTCTTATTTTCAGGGAAACACGGTACCTGAAAGAACAGGATCAGAAGTTGCATTCTGATTGTGCACCACAACGATTTTAAAGGGGGCTTTTGCTGTTTTTGCTGACGATAGATCATTTCACGAGGCCAATGCCCTTTGTTACTTCTACAAATGCACACGATTGCCTACAGATGCACTTTGCCTTAATACCGAGAATCTTTTGACCAAAGTAGACCATCTCATTGGCACCGTCTGTTGTCCGATGTGAGAAGACCTGGTTGCTTCCAGGTGTTTAGATCCTGTATGAACCTCAAACAGTGTTTTAGAGGGCATATGCAGCTCCTGAGCGCTGCAATGATGATTTTTCCTGTTGATTGGCTTTAATGACTCAGAAGCACTTGGTCTGAAGATGGATCCCTCCTAGAGAGGAACGACTCCATTCAAGGAGCTGAGTCAGCCCCTGGCTGCAGCATGTTCATTGTTCCTTTTTGAATCTCAAAGGGAATCTTTTAGAAGGCCTTGTATTTCGACAGCTCTGTGTCCTGTGCATCTGCATAGGAAGCAGTCTGTATACAATTGTTGTGGTTTAGACAAAAAAAAAAAAAAAAAGGAAACTGCAGTGAAAACAACCAGATAATCTTGGGCGGTCATTATTTGGGCTAACAGGATGTTGGCATTTACCCATGCCACATACTGATCCAGCTTTTGTGTTCTTGATGACACAGTCCTGTTAAGCTTATATCATCACTAAAGACTTTGTGACCTTTATTTATAGGGTTTAATAAAGTGCACCTTTATTAAACCCTATAAATTTTACTGCCTTCATGGTGGATGCATACAGGAGTCTGACACAGCAATCTGTCTGCTTGAAGCATTAGGATATTTCTTCTTCATCATCATCATCATCATGATTGTTGTCCTCATCTTCATCACCTTTTTTGTGCCCAGCATTACCTTGGGATATGATTTTTAATGCCCATGTATCATGTTATTTTTATTAAAATTCCCTTTTAAAACTGCATCTAAAGTTTCCTTAATTTTAAAGGACACGATATCTGAGGTAAATCTGACAGAGTGAAGGTGACAGAGGCCTAGAGTCAGGCAACAGTAGCTTTGATTTGTTTTAAAAACATAACAGGAAGTGGTTCTCTTTTTTCACTTCGCATTACAGGTGGTGGAAGAAAATGGAGTCCGGAAGGTTATCGTTATGCCACATTCAACCGAATTCCATCCCTCCATGCATCCACCTCCCCCCCATGTGCCCCATTATATGCACCCTCATCCTGCTTTGCTTCCCCACCCACCTCATCCAGTTTACCCTCCGGTTCCGGGAACAGGCGAAATGCCACCACAGTTCATTCATCAACACCCACCACCGCCATCGCCACATCTTTACCAAGAACAAGGTAAGTTATTTGTTGCTCAAAGGAGGAACAGTCCTTGTAATTCAGGAGGCCTATGGTTTGCTCTTGATCTGGTCGCACCTCTGCGTAGCTGATGCAGAGTGTGGAAGTTCTGTTTCCTCATTGAGGGGCCTCAACCAGGACACAGTTCTAGATACAGTAAAGAATGTGTCTTCATGTTAAAGCTCCAGATGTCTTGCTTACTACATCATCTAGGCATGGCTGTTTACATTGAAGACTTATTCAGGGTAGCTTTGAATGATTGAAGCAATATTGAATATATATTATTCACCAGATTCTAATTGTTGACTCTCCTAGCCCACGGGGACATGGCAGGCAAACAAGTACAGTGGACCCTCGACTTACAGATGGCTCGACTTACAGACTTTTCGAGTTACAGACTTCTCTGGCTGCAAAATTTAGGTTCGACTTGCAGCCAGAGAATCGACCTACAGACCAGAAAAAACCAAAATGGAACAAAAACGGCCGGTTATGGATTAATCGGTTTTCAATGCATTGTAGGTCAATGGAGCCTCGACCTACAGACTTTTCGACTTGCAGCCACCTTTCCAATACGGATTAATTCTGTAAATAGAGGGTCCACTGTAAAGGATGTTAATTCCGTAAGTAGAGGGCCCACTGTAAAGGACATATTAGTGAAAAGAAGATGCTGCAACTGAGAGGTGCAAGTAGCTTGTAGGCCACACGCAAAGACCTCGGACCGCATTTGGAGAGTTCCTATTGGAATCGGGTGAAATTCCATGCCTCAGAATAGCCCAGGGCCCCCATTCATGCTGATCGTTGTCCGTCATATGTATTGGCACTTACTTTTTTTGTATAAAAGGGGACAATGTTCTTGCTGTTGCCTCCATGAGGTGTATAATAGAGATGGGCATGGGTCAGGAAAAAGGTGATTCGTTTTGATTCAATATTCATCTAGGTCGACAATTACGAAATTTATGACATTCACAGAGAAGCTTCCCCGACTCTCCTCTACAAGTTCTCAAAATTTGGTGATGTTTGGGTTTCGGACTTCTGAGTTATGCACCTACAAGGAGCCCCCCCCCTGGAAAGTTTCCCCAAGGCACTTAGAAACACCGAAATCACAGAGAAGTTCCCCGAGACTCTCCTCTGCAATCCCCCCAACTTTGGTGAAGATTGTGTTTCAGACATCCCAGTTATACACCCACAAAATGCCCCCCCCAAGAAAGTACCCTTTACTAACTGGCTTGGAGAAAAGCAATCTTCACCAAACTTAGAGGAATTGTAGAGGAGACTCAGAGGGAGCTTCCCTGCAATTTTGGTGTCTCTCAGTGCCAGGGGGGGATGGACGGAACGGATGGACGTGTTTTATAGCCAAACAAACCAATGAATCAAAAATTACTAAAAATGCATGGATTTGTATTCATCCAGGGCATTGATTTATATGAATACAAATTGATGAATTAGCAGCATTTGAACAAATTTGCTGATTCGTTTTTTAATCCATGCCCATCTCTAGTGTATAATATTGTGTTAGAAAACTCTAGGGATTGCTTCCCCAGCCCTTACATGTGTAGACACATGTGCGTGCGCACACACGTACAAGCACAGTCACGTACTATTACTTGTGACAGAGTTTAAAGCTTCAAAATGTAGTTGCCAGCTACAAGTTATATAATTATGTAAAGCTCAAAGGCTTTTAATTTGAGATAGGGATTTTTAAAAATTCAAAAACCTAGGAGTTGAAATAAAAGCATTGCGGTTTTTCCATTGCATCTCATGGATTTTTCTTTGCCGTGCCCCTTTAGAATCCCGTTCCCACGGCCGAATAAATTTTGTTCAGCGAGATGAAAGGACTCTCAAAATGCAGGAACATTTGAAGAAAAGGCTAAAAGACAGACAAGCTTGTGGACATACAAATAATAAAACGAACAGCCCTCCTTCCTCGCCTCATAAAGTTAATAATTCCTCAAGCGCCAACGCTCAGAATGGACTTGGAAAGGTACAGCCAGGAATGGGAGGGCCAATCAAGCCGAAGCAAGCAGGAAAAGCCAGGGGAAGTCCCGCCCCATCATCGGATTCAGGCATGGGAGGTAGGTAGCAACTGTCTGGGAAATCAGCATGTGTTCTGCATTGTGTTTGTATCCCCCAGTAAATATTAAACAAAACAGCAAAGTATTCACGAAGGCTTTCATGGCCGGGATCTAATGGTTGTTGTGGGTTTTTCGGGTTCTGAAGGTTGTTCTTCCTAACATTTCGCCAGTCTCTGTGGATGGCATCTTCAGGGGACAGGAGTAGCCCTCCTGTCCTCTAAGGATGTGCTACTCCTGTCCTCTGAAGATGCCCATGGCCACAGAGACTGGCGAAACATTAGGAAGAACAACCTTGAGAACACGGCCAAAGAACCCGAAAAACCCACAACAACCAAAACAGCAAAGTGTTTACCATTCAAGGTAAACATAGAAGAAGAAAGAAAGAAAGAAAGAATGAAAGAAAGAAAGAAAGAAACTTAACACTCTTCCAGATGTTTATTAACAGCAGCAGAACAGTTAACTAAGCCATGTTTCCAAAATAATTCTCTATGTGTGAAACAAGGGTAAAACCAATCCTTCAGGGTTTCACATGGGTTGGAAACTACTACTAGGGTTGCCAGAAGTCTGATATGAGACAGAGCATTTTCAAATGGCTTCAGCCAAAGAGAAAGTTAAGGTACACACACATTCTTAGCCCAGGGCAAACTCAACTGAAATGGGTCCAGCTCTATTGTTCTGCACTGGATCCATATTGAGCAGATTCAAGACTTGGAATAATTGAGGGCACTGAACTTTAAGCAGCATGTACTGGTATTTTTCCAGTGAAATGGTCTCCATTTGGGTTGGAGGTGGGAGAAGACTGTTTTGCTGGGCCTTTTTGCTCTTGTTCCCCTCAATTTATAACACAGTGTGTGTTTCTTTGTTTTTTAGAATCTGACGTGGAATCTAGAAAATCTGAAGAGCCCTTAAGCTTCAGTAAGCCTGTAGTAAGTAATAATATCTCTTTAAGATAATATGCCTTTTCCATGCCTTCTCAGGAAAAGAAAAGTACAATTTATAATAATAACCCAACAGAATTTGTGATACTTTGTGTGCCGCTCCATCACAGCGTTTAGTAGTTCAGGAAATGCTGCTCTGTACAAATTTGCATTGCAAGTTCTGATGGGTGCTTTCTGATCTGGAATACTGCAACTGAGACATTAAAGAATGTCTCAGTTCAAGGAGTTAAAAGTTGGGCACCGTTCAAATCTTTTGAAATATTTTGAAATCCTTCATTATGATCATTACGAGGTTTGACACAAAGCCTGCCGAGCTTATAGTCCTGCGAACACTCTTTGGAAAGGTTTTTGTGGTGCACTGAAGGCAAGAGAAAATAATAGTTACATAAGCAGGACAGCTATCAAAAAGAAAAAGGTGGCCAAGAATTTTAATTGTTTCCTTGCATTCAGTTTTCCTCTCCATAGTGTATGATAACCTTAAACTTGGATGCTGCTGCAAGATGGCAGTATCTATGGAGCATTTCTCTGGACAGACAGTGCTTGCTATCAGCCAAAATACCAAAAAAAATAAAAAAATAGAAAAATAAAAAAGATTTGATTTTGCAATCATGGTATTGGTCTCTTCACGGCAGATTTTGATTTTTTTTTTACATGTTTTCACTCTGCTGTAAATAAAACATAGCAGATCCTGAATGAAATTGCCATTCCTTTGCCAAATTCACCAAGATTAGTGACTGGGTTAAAAAAGCTAGGTTTTCTTGGTTTACTTGAAAGCCGTACGTGTATAAAGTGGTCATGATCAGCTTTAAAGCAGTTTCATTATTAAAACTGATAGGTGGCAAACTATAGGTGACAAATTAAGTGGATTGATTTGTTCTTTCTTAAATACCTAGTTGAGTAGCTAAGAGCACTTCTGTGTGAACTACAAAACTGAGTTATGTAATTTTTAAAAGTTGAGCCAGGCTTGGAAATACTTCAGTATACATGCAAGTTAAAGCAATACTCTGCAGTGAGGTAAAGGAATACCGAATGAGATAAAAATTTAAGTGAGCGCCCCCCCCGGAGGAGGTGGGGCTTTGAAACGCCAAACGCCTGTCTAACCCAGGCACGAACCGGCAATTCATGCCCATCTCTAAACCAAACCGCATCTTGTACATGGATTTTGGGGGTGGTTGGGTGATTGGGATGAAATCAGCAACTGAATTTTTTTTTTCTTGAAAAGTGGAAACAGTCTTGGTTGTTTGTTTTTTGAAGGTATCAGAAATCCAGGCGAGGTCAGCAGTCTTATCCTGGAGTCCCCCTGTTGTCTTGCAAAACGAAGAAGCTCATAATCTCTCTCCTGCAGCATTCACATTTGAAGTGACGGTCTCGAACAGCGGTAAAAATGGAAAGTTCAAATTGGTTTACGTGTAAGTCCAGTTTCTTAACAACACAACCTTTCCCCGCTGACGCTGTGATCGTGAACGTGCCCCACCAGGGTCGTTCTCCAACTCCCCATTTCCATCGAAATAATTTTTCAGATCAGGCTGATGGGATGTTTCCAGTGTTTGATTTCTGGGGTTCAAGTCCTAATACTAGCAGAGACTAAAGCTTAAGATTGACCTCTCTCATATACACATGTAGTCCAGCACTATCTCACAGAGAGCAGGGACTCTTTTTTTCTTTCCCTTGCTTAGACCATTTCACTTTCAAAAAGTGGCATGAACTGTTATTTCCACTTTAAAAAAGTGTGTATGTGGAGGGGGTTTGTCTTGTTTGGCTGCAGGGGGATAACATTTGAAGTGATTAGTCACATCCCTGGAGGCTTTAATAGTGCAATAGACCTCTTTTAGGATGGGGGTGTGGTTCAGGTTTTTTTTAGGGGGGATTCACAGGTCCATCGGCTGCACTGTGCTCACCCTCACTGCAACAGTATTAATCCATTACTGTGTGGGGAAAAAAGTTAGAATAATGGGCTGTGCACAGGAGAAGCCATTTACGGCTTAGTTGGAAACTCCCAGTTATTGTGACCTAATAGATTTTTCTCTCTGCAGGGGTGAAGACACGACTTTTATTCTTCCTGATCTCAGGCCAGCTACTGATTATCATGTTAGGTAAGCATAGAGAAGAAGTATCGCTGGAAGAATCAACCATCTCTGAAATTGTTTTTTTCCCCCTTTTTTAAAGATAATCTAGTTCAAAATTAATTACAAGCGAATAATTGTTTTCAGGAAATTGGTGAAAAATAGGGATTAAGGGCTAGAAGATGAAACAGGCAAATAGTGCAATATATCTTTTACTGTTTTGAATAGACTCTGTGCTGCTGTGTCATTGGGACTGAGCCTTTACACTGCCCCAAGTACAGCAGTAACTGGAGAGCTGGACAATTACTATTGGGGGGGGGGTTAACACACTATACAAAATAGCTTCAGAGTAATATTGCTACATGGCAGCTAGTTTTACTTCAACTTTGAAATAATTTCTAGGATTTTAAGTACAGGGAGCACAGCACAACATGAAGGCTAGAATGTGTTTTTTAAGTCTTCCAGCCACAATAAAGGCCGTAGTTAATCTCTGTTATGTCTGTATGTCACTGTGCCTGATGATTATGTACAGAAGAGACAGCACGAGGAACGAGACTAGTGCTCAGGCATCTCTTCCCTGATAGAATTTGTTATGACGTCTTATGTTATCTCCTTCAGTGTGGCAAAGCCTGGCGTGCCCAACAAGAGTGAAAGGGAACAAATAACAACAACAAAAAAGGGTTTAAACTGTCCCGGAAGGTAGATAGTAGAGATGGACGCTTACTGCGGTTCGATTGGGGCCACAGGTGTTAGCATGGGCGCCCCATATTACGTGCCCCAACTCTTCCTGTGGGCACCCAGTCAGAGGAGGAGACGGGGACAGGAAAACTCATGGTGCTGCTTCTGGCAGGGCCCCCACGAAACGAGGCCGGGAGTGGGATCCAGACTGCCTGTGGGCCCCATTGGCCGAACCCGCAGCAAGTGCCCATCTCTAAATAGACAGACAGATTCATTGGATTTCTATGCCACCCAACGTAGTGAAAGGTCACTACTCTGGGTGATGAACATACAGGAAATTAAACCCACATCCTAAGGAAAGGCTGAAGGAACTGGGCAGGTTTAGCCTTGAGAAACGAAGACTGAGGGGTGATAGGATAGCACTTTTCAAATATTTGAAAGGCTGTCACACAGAGGAGGGGCAAGATCTGTTCTCGATCATCCCAGAGTGCAGAACACACAACAAAGGGTTCAAGTCACAGGAAGCCAGATTTTGATTGAATATCAGGAAAAAACCTCTTAACTGTTAGAGCAGTGCGACAGTGGAACCGGTGACCTCGGGAGTTGGTGAGTGCTCCAACACTGGAGGCATTCAAGAAAAACTTAAATAATGTGGCAGATATGCTTTGATTTTATTCCTGACTTGAGCAGGAGGTTGGACTTGATGGCCTCGTAGGCCCCTTCGAACTTCACTTTTCTATGATTCTATGATCATCACACCCACCCAAACAACATAAAAATTACTGAGTAATATAGACAATGACAAACACAACAGAATCATATGGCGACATAAACTAAGCTCTAAAATGAAAATGGTAAATACCCATCTCAGAAGAAGTATGTTTTTAAACGCCTGCTCATTGCCTTGATTGGACACTGGAGTTCACAGGACAGGAAATCCTCAGGCCAAGAAAAGAGCAGATCAGAGGAAGCAGCAAAAAAATTACAGCAGAAAGGATTACCTATGCGAAATATGGTGTCATAAGTATCTCATTTTCTTGGTCATCTATGTTTAGCCACACTCTGGACTTTCTTGTCTTGGTTTCATTGTGTGTTTGGCATATTTGTTCACCTTTTCCCCTAAAAATTACCATACAGAGTTTCAGCCTCCAGTAGTTCCACCAAGGAAACTGTTTCGGAGCTGGCCAGTTTTACTACAGAGACCTGCGAGCCAGATCCTCCTGCTGCACCAAAAGTAGTCAACAAATCCAAAAACAGTCTGACAGTCCAGTGGAAGGTAAGTATCCAGCCAATGTGGGTTTTAGCCTGCGAGTTTGCATTAGCATGCTTGAAAAGGAAATACGAATGAACTGATGTATTGTTTATCTATCTAAAATATTTATATGCTGCCTTTCCCCCTAAAGAATCCAGAGCAGCTCACAGTATTAAAAGAAGCAGTGTTAAAAGCTAAAATAATAAATTTATTCATTTCTAAAATAGGAATCCCATCTTGAGAAAACCGCATGTTTTGATTTGAAAAGTTAATTGAAGTGGTTGAAACAGCTCTTTTTCAAGTTGGTGGGCAAAATAAATGTCTTCTCCCCCCCTCTTTTTTTCTTTCTTAGTCCTCCAATGACAATGGTTCCAAAGTAACTAACTACCTTTTAGAGTGGGACGAGGTAAGTTCCTTATTTTAGGGAGAAATAATTAAGCCATTTTATTAGCTGAAATTATGTGTCACTTAAGTCCACTCTTTTATGCTTCAGTAACTTTAATAATGCTCTTCCATGTCCTGCTGAGAAAATATTTTCAATTAAGCACATTGCAAGTGGATAAGACGTATGTTGTAATGTTTTCCCGTCAAAGTGATTCTGAGAAGCACACCAGCTTCTCCAGAATATTCTGTTAGAAAGAATAAAAAATGGAAGCTGCTTTGCACTGTTTTGGACTTCCGGAACAGTTCTTCCCAACGTGGGGTCCCCAAATGTTCTTGGACTTAAACTCTCAGAAATCCTGGCCGTCATAGTGAGGGGTGAAGGCTTCTGGGAGTTTTAGTCCAAGAACATCTGGGGATCTAAGCTTGGGAACCACTGTTCTAGAGTTAAGAAGATGAGAAATGTACAACCCTCCAGTTATTGAACTCAATACCCTTTGCTCTTCTCCGTTGGCCATGCTGGCTATGGAAGAGAGGGGTTTTGCTTCTGTGATGTCTGGAGAGCTACACGTTCTCCGTCCTGTTCCATTTTGTTGATACTTAAATCTAGCACTGGCTACTTCAGATTTTTCATGCATATGTTTTGATTTGTGTAACTTCTTAGTTGTTTTGGAAGCGTTCTATTAAAAGTATTAGTCAGCTCTTCGGAATCATTGTGTCGTTGTAAGTAATCTGGCAAAAGGTGGAGAAAATCCATTGGATTGACTCTGCCCATGCTGTTCTAGGATTTCGTCACATTCCTCCAGCTATTGTGGTTAGTACAGGGAACGAAACTCCTAGTTCCTTGCAAAATTTGTGTCAGTGTGCGAACCTGGACACAGATTTTTCTAAACTCTCCAAATAAACCATGAGGGTTAGAAACAGCCTTCCGTGTTTCGTAGTTGTGTCAGCAGTGCTTTGGTTTCAGGCTGTCCTGATGTGCAATTTTAATTTTGTTGCTTTAACTGGAGTGTCCAGGTATGGACATGTGTGCACGTAACATAATTTTGTTATTTTTATTTTATAAACTGCCTTGAGCAGCCTTTGTCTTAAAGGGCAGCCTCACATCTTGAAAATAAAATCAGTAAATTAAAATACCTGTGAATTGGAAGCTGTGAAAATTGGCAGGTTTATAGGAGCACACATTCCAATGGTCCACAATTTCTGTATTTTGTTTCATTATGCTGTGCTACAGAGGGCCGCTGTTACTGAGGGCTCCCTGAAGCAAATCCTCAGTTTCTTGGAGCCAGAGGATCTCACTTTATTTTTATTTATTTGGAAAGGGGAAAAACGGCGCGTTCAAGGAATGCTATTACGGTCATCTGAAGCAACACAAAATAACCAAGCTGACCCCTTCTACAAGATACATGTTCAGGGTGGCCGCCAAAAATGACATCGGAATGAGGTAAATAAATAAATAAAAGATGACGTAACGACATGACTTTCAGAGATGTATGGATGGCTCACGTTTTTGCCAATTATTTTCTCTTCTCCCCTCCTTCCAGTGGGTTCAGCGAAACCCTGGTGTGTTACACGATAGGAATGGTCCCGCCACCCCCTCTGCCGCCTCAGCTGACGGAAGCAGGGGTGGCCTGGTTGTCCCTGAAGTGGAGCCCTCCGAACGGCGTATCTTCGGACGATTCCCTGACGTACATTTTAGAAATGGAAGAGGAGGGTTCTGTAAGTTTCTGGTATTTGAATTTCGTTGTATGGGTATACTGTGTATATACTTACAATGACAATAAATTATATTATTATTATTATTATTTATGTGTTTGGAAACTTGAGTTGGATGTCAAGAAAAAAAAAGTTGCTGCCCACTCTAGGGTAGAAAAGGAGGTTGCCTGGCAGATAATTACTGGCTGCCTTGTTCAGGCGCCCCAGTGGAGTTGATAGTAATCTATCCACGAGTCTTCTGCAGCCGGTTGAGGACCCAGTTGTTGTTAGGAGTTGAGGTCTGTTCTGATTGCAATACGGCTTTGGACAGGGTCGCTCTAGACGGCCAGTGCTGGAGCCACTGGCTTTCCAAAACACAACCATCAAGGTTGGGTTTGTACACTTGTTATGTCTCGGTATATGTTGTCTGACCATGACATTGTTATTCTTGAGGAGTTTTTGATTTCCTTAGATACAGTGAAGAGAAATGCAAGTTGTTCCACACTGCTCAAGAAAAGGCATTATTTATTTTCTTTTTTCTTCTTCTTCATGAATAGGATTATGGTTTTCAAGCCGCTTATAATGGAGATGAGCTTTCTTGCACTTTAGAAGACCTTAGGAGGAGTACGTCTTATAAATTCAGGGTACGTGCTGCTCTCGAACGTTACCGCATCCGGTTGCTAATTAAATCTCAAAGTCTATAGTGAAAAATCAACCTGTGTTGACTAGGGAGAGGGGTCTGCAAAATAGGCCATGGCTGTTGAGACTTCTGTTCCCCTGCCCTCTAGTGCATAAAATATCTTCCCCTGTCTGATATCGTCTCTTAATTTGGAGACCACGGTGGTGGCGATTGTTAAGTAGTGTGGATTCTGTGTCCAGAATCCTGAATATTTTGATTTCCAGCATGTCCCCGTTACATTCAACACTGCCGTATGTTTTTGCTCAACCACGTAACAGCTTTCCCCTCTCCCAAAACCCCATTCCCCCTCGTACTGCCTGCTTTGGGGGAATGGCCTTTAAGAAAAAGCCTTTAATGGTTACGCTCTTGAAATAAATTGGGTGATGGGTCTGGGTTTTTGAATTGAGTTTAAAGTCACATGTTTTTTGGTTCCTCTTGGGAGAACTTTTAATCTGTTTTTAAACAATGGCGTGTTGTGGAGAAGGCTACACAGGCCTTTTGAATTCGTTGCATTTGTGGCTTTGTCCTGTGCCTGTCCACCTACCCTCATTCTGGCTGCCTCTCAACCCTAACTAGCCCTGGTATTATTTTAGTATATATTTTTATTCCAGTCTGGCATAGGAGCCCCCCAGCCACCCGCCCGCCCACAGACAGAGGGTGGAGAAGTAGAGAGAGCCAGGAGAGAGAACCAGCCCACTAGGACTGAAACTAACCTGAGACACTGACTAGGCTTGTGAAGGAGGGAGGCATTCTCTCCCCCCGCCCTCTGCTCTCCTCTCCCTCTCTCTCCCAGTGGAGAAAGAGAGGGAGCACAGAAGGCATATCAGTGAGTGGCGAACCCCACAGACACAATTTCTTCCAACAGAGGCATTCATGTTATGCCAAAACGACTGAAAATAAATCAGTCTCACAAGCGATTTAAAATAAACAACCCTCTCCCAGCTGAACCCAGTGACTTGCTTGACAACCAAAAAACTGCCTCTCTGGCAAAAAAATAAAAAATAAAACCTGTGCTTCCATGTGTTTCGTGTACTCGGCTTTTTAAAAATCTGTTTCAGACTGCTAATCCCAAGTCAAAAACAGGGTTTTTACTGTGTGTAACCACACTCTCGGTTGGTTTGTTAATTGCCTTTCCTTTTCGGAAGGCTTCTAAATGGGGACTTAAGTTACCGTCATGGCTTGTTTGTGGGCTTCTAGATGGAAAGCTGAGGAGTGTAGGAGGAGGTCTTACCCTGCAAGATCCTTCCTTTCTTACATTTAAACTAGTACATGATTTTTAAGCTGGTCTTTCTTCTCTTCGTGCCACGACAGCTGTTTGCTCACAACACCGAAGGAAAAAGTGGGCCCAGCGAGGTGGTAGAATTCAGCACAAATCCTGACAAACCTGGACCTCCGGGTAAACCAGCTGTAAAGGGAAAGATCCATCCACATAATGTGAAAGTGACCTGGGGTAAGGAAGCGACCATTTTGTATGAATTCTTTCTTCCTCACCTGCCTCCCTTGTTGCATAAAAAGGAAAAGGCATCGGTTACAGTTCAGTATTCTGCATTTGGTGTTTGTGTTTGCGCGTCTGATCAGCTGTGCAGAACTAACAAGGAAGAGGTGCATTAATCTGGACTGCTGGGTTTAGCAGTTGCCCGGATCGATGCGTATTTAGCATGCCAACAAGGAAGAGGTGCATTAATCTGGACTGATGGGTTTAGCAGTTGCCCGGATCGATGCATATTTAGCATGCCCGTGCGTGGCATGTGTTGTGCTCCTCGTGACCCCTTCCTCCCCACATAGGGTGGAAGAATTAGTTCTGCACAAACTGCAGCCTTTCTGATCTGTTGCGGCTTTCATCAATCAGTGTCGCGTTTTCAGCACAATGAAAGGTCTAACTTTAAGATCCTGTGGGCCATACCCTTTTGCTATTAGTAGACCCATAGATTTAGTGGAATTTACAGAATGTTGACTTCCCGTGCACTTAATTGGGCTTAGCAGTCGGATACCGGCCGGCGTGGTTGCCTAATGCAGAGCTTAAGACGAGATACATGATGGATCCTGTTCAGTTGTGATGCTTTGTTTCCTGAGCATATCCTTTTACTTTGATGTTGTTTGATATTATGTGCTATTAAGTTGCATCTGGTTTGTGATGACCCTGATAGGGTTTTTCAAGGGTATTTATGGAGTGATTTTACCAGTGCCGACCCACAGAGAGTTTCCATGGCTGAGTCGGAATCTGAACCCAGGTCTCTTGATTCCTCGTCTGTCCGCCTGGCACTCATTCTGGTACATTGCCATCCTAAATGAAAATGTGGGGCCAGACAGCACACCAGTTCTTCTAACTTGCTTGAAACTAGTTGTGTGGACTTTAAAATATGGGCTTTCTTGCAGATCCAATTCTTCTCCTTTTAAATGCTATTTTTTTAGATCCACCAAAGGATAATGGAGGGTCAGATATCTCTACGTATGTCCTAGAAATGTCAGAGGCCTCAGCTGGTAAGCACAAGATGAACAAAGTATGTCCAGTGTCACATCCCTTTTTCAGCCTATCGACTGTAATCGTAAATAATTTCACACCTTTGCTGGAGAGTGAAAGGAGCTTTAACCATGCTGTTGTTAATAAATATCATAGATGTTATCCATCAGCCCAGTATGAGCCGTTTGTAACCAGTGGGATGGTCAGTCCCTGGATCCACAGATACAGCTAGATATAGTGGTTTCAGCGTGGATGGGAAGGGGGTGCAGAATGTTAGGTAATCCAGTTCTATTCAAGTTTTCCTGATGTTCCAAGCGGCCAAAATGTTTTGTTTCTCCTGCTGTAAAACAGTTGCCTTCTCTTTTCCTGTTCTGCAAATTGGGTTGTAATTAGTACTTTATCTCCACCACCACCACCACCGTAGGCAGTATATGGGAAGCAACCTACAGCGGTTCCGTAAGAGAGCACGTCTGTGCTCATCTCAAGCCTGGTACGTCTTACAGACTAAGAGTTTACTGCATTGGAAGAGGAGGCCAAAGTCAGGTGAGCAAGGGGGAGTCCTTTGAAAGAGGTCTGTGTTTGTCCCGCAATTGTTTATCAGCCCCCAAACCCCCAGCTTTACAGGTTTTGGTACTGGCAAAAGAATTGTTTATACTGAGAAGAAACTCAGTCTCTGTGTTTATGCATGCAAATGTAAAACACATTGTTTTGACAGCTGTGAATATGGGTTTTCAAAACTAGATTAGCAGACGGGTTGTTTAGGTTTTTTTTAAATGGGTTCATCAGCAGCAAAATCTCTTGTGGCACTTTTATTTAGTTAAAAAAAACTATTAAAGGCAGGTTTTATTTGGCATAAATGTCGTTAACATGTATCAGACCAAATGGGGGACCTTATGCTAGTTAAAATCTTTAAAAGCCTTTAACATGGCACAGGCTCCTTGCCATTGATTTTAGTACATGATAGAAATCTGCCTACTCAAGGAGTTCCTAGTAGAGAGGGCACAGACTGCTGCTGGTTTGACCCTTTGTGCTGGTTCATTTATCGACCGTACCGGGTGTTCAGTGCTACAGAGCCCTGTCACCCACTCAGAGGCAGCACCCGGAGGAGATGGGTGGGGGAGCATTTGCTAGAGGAGGTGGGCTTTGACGTGCCGAACATCTGTTTGGCTGATAAATAAACTGACATGAACCAGCGGTTCGTGCCCATCTCTCGTTCCAAGCAGTCTTCCAGGGAGACCTGCTAAATATAAGCAAGGTTGTCGCTTCATCAGCTCCTACGTCTGCTTGAAAATCTTCAAAGTCTGATTGGGAAGCAGGTAAAGAGTTTGGATAGGATTTCTAGCTGTCAGTGGATGGGCGTTAAGGCATGTAACATTCATTATCCTTCTTGATGCACTAGCATGATACTCTCGAAAGAATATTTTGGAGCAGCTATAGCTTAGTGAGTTAGGTTGCTAGCTGCAGAGCCAGAGGTTGGAAGTTCTGTTCCCCACTGTGCCTCCCAGAAGAAGAGACAGCCTGTGTAGCCTTGGGCAAGCTGCACAGCTCCAGGGCACTCCCATTATAGGGAAATGGTGGACTGCTTCTGAGTACTCTCTACCTAGAAGACCTCGGAAAGGGTCGCCATAAATCATAGTTGACTTGATGGCACACAGTTACTACTGTTAGATAGCTTGGAATACACAGCTGTGGACTCGCTGGCTGGGAGTACAGATCCACACTGGACCTCCAAGGAGAAGAGCCCTGAGTGTGCATGACGGATGGGGCGCTGTGCTGTGCTACCTGTGCAGCCTGAGACAATCTGCAGAGCCCCACACTGGGATCAGAAGGAGGGACTGGCCATCATTTCCCAATCTAAACAAACTTGGGAGGGCAGTCATAAGCAGGAGTTTGATTGGACTGCACAACATTTCTCCTAAACATTAGGAAGAACTTCTTGACAGTAAGAGCTGTTGGATTGTGTAACGAACTGTCTCAGAAGGTGATGGGATCTTCCTTCATTGGAAGTTTTCCAGCAGAGGTTAGATGGTCACCTGTCAGGGATGCTTTAGAGCTGAATTTCTCACTTCACTGGGATAGGACTCAGTGTCCCTTGGGCTCTAAAGTTCTATGGTTCTGTAATTATCAATTATCCAATTAAAGAATATTTTACATTGTATTTCAAGAGCTAAAGTGATCTTAGCAGTTAAGAATGCCAAAGTGGGTGTTGGGAGATCAAAATCCAAGTCCTCATTGGATCACGAAACTCAGTAGCTGATCTTTGATGGAATATGGGTATTTATTGATCCTGGATAAAATGTGTCCACACCTGTGTCCTGCATATGAATCTGCATACATTGCACAGCCTGGTATTTTTCTGGCACAGAATTGGGTTTATACTGATACAAGATTATCACGTTCACAGTGTGAAATTCCACACCACCCTTTTGGAAACAAACATACTGAAAAAAAAGGCAAGGGGGCGGGATTATGAAGCACATGTTGCAGCTTTCCATTCTGGTTACGTTAACATGCATGTTCTTTTTTAGCCGTCAGATGTACTCACTGTTCAGACAGCAGCTGTTCCTCCTGGGCCATGTCAGCCTCCATGTCTGGCCGGCAAAGCCAAGCCTAAGGAAATCTCTCTTCAGTGGGGTAAGATTTGTCATTTTGAAGAAATGGATGTATGAAATTGTACCTGTCTTGCACGACATGCAAGGAAGGGAAGCAACTTCAGAAAATGCTAGGTGTACATAGTGTCCTTTGTGATTTATTTGAGGCCCATCCTATCTTTCTTTCAGTACTGAAATAATAAATAAATAAATACTGGGCTCCAGGGTGGCAACATACATCCAATAGGCATCCATTTTTCTACGTCCAGCACCTAGAATGGCACAATTGGACTGCTCGATGTGGAAAGATGTCCTTTTCCACGATGATGCCGAAACCAGAGTTGCCTTCTGTGCTGAGGAAGTTGATGCCAACAGGATTGAAATAGGGTGGGATGATCCCATAGATTTGTCCCATCGCTGCCCATCAGAAACAGCTTGAGGGGGGTTTCCAAAGAGAAGATGAAACAGAGCGAAATGGCTCGCTCCTAGCAGTGAAGTCCACCGCTGGAAAATACTTGTTCCAAAGATACAACTGAACTGGGGTTCATGTTTCCTCAGGCCAGATTTAGTAGGCACTCTGCAGATTGAACACTGCTGTGTTAAAACTCCCTTCATCCAAACAAACCAAAAAGAGAGAGATAACTTTTGTCCGCTGATGTTCCCTTGCATTTCCTGCTGGCGCTGGGCAGAGTCCTGGCACTGGACGTACACCCTTTCGGCTGCAGCCGGAGCCAGCGGGGCGGCAGTGCTGATTGTGGGTGTGCGGCACCAATACAGCCTTGTGCAGCTGTGCAGCTTAGAGTGGATGTTGCTGGGTGCACTTGAGGGGCCCAACTTCACACCACACTTACGGAACAAGGCCACAGAGGTCGTAAACGAAGATCAGCAAACCCATATACAATTCATTTTCCACACAATTAGCAAACGAATATAAGCTACGGGAAGAGAATAAAAGCCAATAGGAGAGAGAATAAAAATACTCAGAAGGAAGTATGGCAAATGTAAAAGAACTGTGATAAAATTGTTAGGGCTCACCTGGACACGCAGGTTCAGAAGGGTCAGGGTTCCTGCGTTATCTAGATTTAGAAGGTTCTGAATGGGGGGAAAAAGAGAGATAAGATGGCAACCAGGTGTTTGGAACCCACCTGTTGTGATTGAACATACTTTGCATGGTGCCCTAAACCTTCTTGGCTTCTCTGAGTGGCCTCGAGGTCACCCCTTCATGACTTTGGGGGGCACCCTCAGATGGAGTTTGAACAACACTTGCCCGATTTACATGGTGCACGTGTGTCTTTTTATTTATTTATTTATTTTGGAAGGAGAACTTGAGATTATATTGCTGGGGGACGTGGTGGATTTGATTCTCCACATCTTCATTAGTGGCATGAGTATTCACCGGGGTCAGACTCGGACCCAGTTTTGACAGTGTAAGGATGGTCATCATCAGTGCCCACCAGGATAGCCTCCTTGCGCTGATGGTCATTCTACTGATGGTGACTCTCCTTGGCATCAAGACTCTGCATGATGTTAATCACCAAGAGCCTGGATCACCTCACTTCGTGTGGATCTGCTAGGCAGAAAAGAACATAGCGGAGAGAGACGCCCATAGTTGGCATTGCATTTAATCGAAAGACCCTAACTTGCATGCTGGTTGCTGCTTCTTTTACAGAACCCCCTTCGGCAGACGGAGGCTCAGAGGTAACCGAGTACATTGTGGAAATAGCGCACGGTGAGCTGGAGGAACGGAGGCAAGTGTATCGCGGCCAGGCATTAGAATGCACCATTAATGGTCTTCTTCCGGGAAGAACGTACAGCTTCTGGATTCGAGCAGCCAACAAAGCTGGGGTACCTGATTGAATTCTTGTCTGAGAATTTTAAAAAAATGCTTATTAAATTTCTCCCTGTATACAGAGAATTTCAAGGTGTTGGTGTGTGTATATACACATGCACCCATGTATGTGTTCTACAGTGAGGAAATCCAGCTCTTGAGAGCAAAATAGTTAATGCAGTGAAATATGCACTTGGGTAACTCTTGGTTATACAAAATTCATATACTTTTGGAAACCTATTAGGAAGTGAGAGGCTTGGGTTGTGTTCTTGTTTTTTTTTCCCCTCTACAGTGAACGATATAAATATTAAAGCTTTGGCCCTAGCAATTTGCATGCCTCGTTTTGCTGACATCCTACCATATTACAGAGACGGTATGAAGTTTTCACAAAGGGTTCGGCGACCTCATTGGATTTGCTACCGCTTTGACGCTGGTGCCTGAAACAGTGATATCTTAAACTGCACGTCTGCTTCTGATTTTGGAGAGAGAGAGAAACCTCTGTCTTGGTTTCGCTAAATCCTAGCCACATTTTCTTTTCACCTTTGTTCTGTATTGGTTGTGACGCTTTGCAATTTTTTTAGGAAAGTATATTCTTAACACAGTTTTTCTAATGTCTGCATTTATGCCTTTTATGTAATTTTTGATTTTTTCCCAAGTGACTAAAACATGTTTGTGTGTATTTATTACAACTAGGGGCATTTGTGGATGTTTGGATTTTAAGATATGTACACTGTTTTATGCAGACTTAATTTGTCTAACCCCCCCGTAAGCCTTGGTAATATGCTAATTTTTTGTTTATTTCATTTATATGCCACCTTTCCTTCAAAAGTGGGGCCAAAAGCAGTTTATAGGACAGTTTAGAACAATAGATTAACATACAATAAAATCACAAATTTCCCAGCCAAATTCTACAATTACAATTACAATTAGAACTCTTTAAAGTCAATTGAAATGAGTAATAATAATTTGCCTTAAAGCAATGAAAGCCAGCACATCATCTGGGATGTTCTACTTGGAGGCTCTTAATTGCTCAAGGCCTGCTTAAATGAAAAGTTCTTTGCCAACGTTGTCTCTAAATTTTAGCCTCTCTGGGTGAGGCTCCACCCCTTGCACTCAAGACTCCGCCCCCACGGGGTTCCATCACGACTGGGACCGAAGGGGCTGGAAATGCTTGCTGTGGGTGCGCGGTGGAGGAGGAACGTTGCGTGGAGGGGGACCAGACAGACCTGGACTATCAGAGCCTGGACTGGCTAATATAGGAGGAGATTTACATTTATATCCTGATGGCATTAAACCGGTCATTGCAATTTCCTGATCTTGAGATCTTGTTTCCCTGTAGCTCGGCCCTTGCTCAGAAAAGGCAGAGGTTTCTACCGCTCCGGGGCCTCCAGATCCTTGCTGTGTCCCCCAGCTGATATGTAAGACAGCTACGTGTGTCGTAGCCTCATGGGAGGTATGTCTGTTTCCTCGTATCTTTTACGTGAGCCCTGCTGTAATACGTGAGACTTGGATGGAGAAATTCAAAATGAGTGGAAGGGCACTCTCATTTCACTAATTCGGGGCCCTAAGAAAGTTGCATGAATGAATGAATGAATGAATAAGAACTTAATACCTGTTCATGCCCTGAAGTTGAAGAAAGGTTTTGTGCAAAATTCTGATAAGAAAACTATCTAAATGGACTTAATCAAGGGAACTGTGGTTGGGATGCATAGTACTGTCCCTTGGGTCTGATAAGCTTCAAAAGAAAACTATCTAAATGGACTTAATCAAGAGAACTGTGGTTGGGATGCATAGTACTGGGTCTGATAAGCTTCAGTTTGTGTTGTATGTGAGCCATCGATGTCTGTCGTGCCGTGATCTTGGGCATGCTTTTTCTTCGTATCCCCCACCCCCCATGATAAAGCATGAGCAGTGATCAACATCGTTCTTTTGATGTGGGGGGAAAAATTCGTATCCCCCACCCCCCATGATAAAGCATGACCAGTGATCAACATCATTCTGTTGATGTGTGTGTGTGTGGGATTTCAAAGCATTGTCACATCATCATACCATGACTGCGCTTCAGTCCCAGACAGCTCAGATCCTGTGGCTGTAATGTGTAGTTGCACTGCCTTTTAACATTGACCAGTTTGTGTCTCAGCCATCCAGTGCATTTCAATGCAGAAAAGAGCTGGCTGCTGCTTTTCATTGGAGATGTTTCCTTAGCATGTACTCTAGAGTTGTCGTTGGCTTCCAAACGAGCATTTCTAACATGTTGCCATTTTGGAAATGCCCATCTTTGCAATCCTCCATCAGAGCCAGGGCACAACATATAACACAGATACCCAAGGATTTTCCTGTCCTGAAGAAAAATATTTCTTTACAACCATTTATTCCCAGCCACTTTGACAGACAGGAGTCTTAAACCAATCAGTTTGTTCTTGTCAACCCACTACCCGCTTTGGGGAGGGGGGAAATCCAGGAGACTAAATCTACTTCCGTTGTGCCTCTACTTGGAGGAGGTTTGTTTAGGTTTAGGGGGTCTGGTGATGTGCATTGCTGTGGGGCAGCCGCTTCCTGAAAACTCATAGACTGCACCGCTGACACCAGTTTGAGGGGTGGGGAAACAGAGGTGCACTTCCGCTTAACACAGGGCAAGTCACAGAAGGAGTTGACACACAATGGTAACTGGTTGGAACTTAAAGGCTAGTCAGACGGTGAGTCAGGCATTCTTAAAACCTGATTCAGGGCAGAGGTGTACTCCTTAGACACATCCACAAGATAACAACAGTGCTCCATATAAATTACTAGGGTGGGACACATTCACATTTCTTCAGCACAAATCAGCGTTGCTGCTAATATGGATAGGGTCTAGATTTTTTGATAAAGTTGGGCAAGACGTTCAGGGGAGATCCTGAATACTGAAGCAGACTGGTAGAGGAGTGAGATGGATATAGGCCAGGCCGGACTGAACACAAATGTATTTGGTGTTCCAGCTGATCACAAATCGCCAGAGACATTTCTGTCCTTTAAAAAGTCCTTTCTCATAAATAAGTAACCTCTGAAGGCAGAGTTGCTAAATGAAAGGCCCAGCTTGCCAGATTGGAGATCGGTGTCATCTCGGTGTCCCGAGACCGGTATTCTTTTATTTTTAAAAAGCAACTCACTTTTCATCAGGTCACCGGGGGGGGGGCGATAATGACGCACATTTTGTCCTAATCCGTTAAAAGCCCTTTTCTCTCAATATTCTTAGTTGTCAGCCGCCCTTGAGACAGGAAGTTTAGAAACGGGCAAGCTTATTTTCTACAAATATCTGCCCTTTGTTGCAGGAGCATTGATGGGGACCTGCATCTTTAACTGAAGAGCGCCCCCTGAACGTTTCCCGTTCATTTTGCCTCTTTGTTTTTACCTTTCTCCTAGGTTCCACTGTGTAACGGTGCCGAAATTAGTGAATACAGGCTGGAGTGGGGCCAGGTGGAAGGCTCGATGCATATAATATACACGGGCCCTCTTCTGAGCTATGAAGTGAAAGGGCTGATGCCTGCAACAACATACTATTGCAGAATACAGGTATGGACACGTGTCTTCTTTTTCCCCAAGGATTTTTTTTCCCTTCTGCCCTCGTGTCTCTGCTTTTCAAGCCTCTTTCAGAGGGGAAGGTCTTCTCCAAAAAAAGGCCCAGTGTTTTTGGCCTCTGTTGATAAGGATTCTCTTTCCATGGAGGCCAACCTGGCCTCAACATGATCAACTTCTCGTGCCAGGTTAAGATACTTCTAGCCCCTTTGAAATCAGCAGTCTTGATGATCTCTGTATTTTTTCTCGGGAGAACTGTTGCTTTTATTGATTATATTAAGCTAAATATAACTACTAATCTCCATCAGATTATATTTGTGAATACAGGGGGACCCCCATATCCACAGGGGATCCCCTAAGGATTCCAAAAACTGTGGATAATAGCCAGCCTATATATAGCATGGTCTCTGTCTTCGTCTAGGGGACAGCTCTGGTAATTACATCATGGGAATACACATTTCTGGGGGTTTTCTTCTAGTATTTGTAATATTTCCACACCACAGATGTGAAGCCATAGATTCTAATCCTGCATCTACGGGGATCCTACTGTGTGCCCTTTTTTGTAACAAGACTGTGAAATCATTTTGTTAACTAATATATTGTGACTTATTTAAAATAATCAGTTAAAACAGTGAATAGAAGGTTAAGCCAAATGAGTTTTTGATACACACACTCTCTTACATCCCTGTTGTTTCAAATGCAAGGCAGAGTTTGGTTCACCTTTCGATCTGCATACGATCACATGGCTTTTCAGGTCAAAAAAGGTAGCTGGTCTCTTGTTTGGAGCATAAGGGACCTCATACAAGCTCTCCCCTCCTCTAGCAGATTTAGTGATACGACTGTTTGCATAACTCTCACTCTTTTGGGGTATTTTAAAAAGCAGTGGTTATTCCCAGCTTCAGTCTGAATTACATTTCAGAGTTGGCTGCAGACCTCTGGGAGGATGGTGAGCTCCCTGGTCTGGTTCCCTAACGCTTTTCTTCTTGGGGGTCTTTCCAGGCTGTGAATCTCGCCGGTGCTGGGTTGTTCGGGGAGACTGGCATGGTGACGACCCCGGCCTCCGTGCCAGCTGCGGTGGCCGTCTTGCACTTGCTGGAAGAGGACCAGATGGAGGCCCCCCTTCCTCTCTCGACGTGCCTTGCCCTTCACTGGGAGGAGCCCTGTTGCCACGGGGCGGAGATCACGGGCTACCACATAGACTATGGGGAAAAACAGCTCTTGACCGTCGGCAGAGTTACAAGCCATGTTCTGGAGAACCTGCAACCCGACACTTTATACAGGTAATGGATTTAATGCTGTAGATGTCTAATGTGCTACAGGTGGGGTACGGTGGATGGAACAGGGTGAATTCTGGCTGCGAATTGATCAAGCGATGGGCTCCTGATTTTTCTCTTTTGTGTGCTGTCCTTCGGATCAAACGTCACACCCCAGCTGCTCTCCTTCTCCATGGGGAGGGCCTGCTTCCTTGCTCCCCTCCAGCTAGAGAAGCAGCTGAAAGGATTTTGATGGTGGGAGGAACAGCTCACACAGAACAGGGGTCTCGCAGCTACCCAACGTCTCGGATCCCATTTGTAGCTCTTAACGGTGGTTCAGTTTATGGCTTTATGCAAAGGCCAGCAAGAAAAAACATTAAAAGCAACCCTGTTCTCTCTTTTTCTGTGACTGCTTTCCCTCTTAGAATCCGCATTCAGGCCTTCAACAGTCTAGGGGCTGGCCCCTTCAGCCCGACCATCAAAGCGAAGACCAAGCCTTTGCCACCAGATCCTCCGCACCTGGAATGTGTTGTCTTCAGTTACCAGAGCCTTAAACTGAAATGGGGCGAAGGTTCGAGCCGAGCTGCAATTGCTAACCCGACGCATTTCAACTTACAGATGGAAGATAGGTTTGGCAGGTGAGTGGATAGCTCGGGGAAGGCTTTGATCTCTTTGTGCGCTACTCAGCGGCACTTGAGTGAAATTCTCTTCTTTCAAGAGAGATTCACTGTTTTTGAAAAGAGTGAATTGGACAGTAGACTTATTTGGATCACCCTCCTAGGAAAGCTGAGGAGCAAGCACTACTAGCCAGCCACACGTGGCATACAATCTGCATATCCACTGGTATGTATATCATGGAATTGATATCCGAGGTAAAACCAGGTAAATTCCAAAAATCAGACTCACCATCTGGACTAAGAATTACTGCTTTACCCTTCCCTTCCTCAAGGGGGAACCTCAGGACGGTGCAGCTGGCCCAAGGCCACCCAGGCTGGCTGTTCTCCCGGGAGACCCAGCGGGGAATCAAACTCCCAACCTCTGGTTCTGCAGCCAAAAGCTCATTTTGGTTTATAAACCCTGCTCATTACTTGGTAGATGGCAGACATATAAAGACACGTTACACAGTCATAACGTATCTTTAATTTTACTTATTTTAACTGGGAGCTGCCTTGAGTCCTCTTGTGGGAGGAAGGGTGGCTTATGAGGCTGACTAAATAAATCTCTTATATACCACTGGATGGTTCTGTGACGTGTGTGTTCTGTGATATCATTGAAGCAAACAAAACTGTGTTTCACCATATTCTCACTTTTTTAAAAGGTAGTACGAAGTAAGACCTTAACTTTGGTAGAATCACAGCAATGCTATAAATAAGAATCCCTGACCATGTATGATGGCTAGTGTTAAGAGAGATAAATCAGGACAAAAACTTCTTGTTTACACATATAAATGGCAACCCCAAACAGCGTGTAAGGTTTTGCCTAGCAGTGGTTGGTTGTGTGGAGGCACACACAGGTAGTGAAAGTGTGGGAGCAGCAAAACACCGTATTTTTCGCTCCTTAAGATACACCTTTCCATAAGACGCACCAATTTTTTATGAGCAGAAAACAGGAAAATATAATCTGTTTTCTTCGCTCCATAAGACGCACAGACTTTCCACCCCCCTGTTTTGTGGGGGAAAAGTGCGTCCTATGGTGCGAAAAATACGGTAAGTACATTTAACAAACAAAAGAGAACATTGTGATGTTACAGTTGAACTTACAGAGCACTATATCTGGTGTGCAGATATTTCAGAAGTGTTTCTCTTTTATAGTTACAAACCTGTTCCTTTTCTCACTCCCCTTCTCCCCTCCCCCCACAAAGGTTCATCACCGTCTACAGTGGCCCTTGTCACACCTACAAAGTGCAGAGACTTTGTGAGTCCACCGCTTACTACTTTAGAATCCAAGCGTGCAACGATGCGGGTGAAGGAGAATTTTCAGAAGTTTACTCATTCACTACAACCAAATCTCCACCGCCTGCTCTGAAAGGTGAGGGCATTTAGCTGACATGGGTCCCCATTCCAGGATTTTCTGAATCGCCCTACATTAAATAAAGGTCAGGGCAACAGAACAATGAATGGTGAGTCTGCAGCTGGGTTTGGGCAGAGACATGGAAGCCTTGTGTCTTGAGTTGGAGAGAAAAGACGGAATACTGAAAAGTTAATATGTACATTTGTGAGTGATGTATGTTTGATTCCCCCCCTTTCCAGCACCCAAAGTCCATCAGCTGGGAGAGAATGCCTGTGAGGTCACATGGGAGCCCTTGCAGCCAATGAAAGGCGACCCTATTGTTTACATTTTACAACTTTCCAGTGGGAGGGAAGTTGATCAGGTAATATGGCATTATAATCACCTTTTGTGTTTTTCTCATATGAATTCATTTGATGAACTGTTGTATTGACCCACACAAATGTTTCTTCAAAAACTGAAAAGTGTAGATGGTATACATTGTACGATTAGTGTCAAAACCTAAGCATCCTGCATTCCAGAAGACCATGATGATTTATTACAACAGAACAGGCTTTGTTCTAAGTTATTTGCCAATTTGTAGAACGTTCGGGTTTTTTTTACCGATTTGTGATTTCGAACTTGTCCAAAATTAAGATTATAGTCCCATTTCTTGTTTGCAGCATCTTGCTGATTCTGAATGTGAATCCAGTAGGCCCCATTGAACCTGGATTCATGAAAGAAATAATGTTGTCATGGATGTTTGTGATAGCTGAAGTACAAAACTGCCAAGACTTGAGACTCCGGCCATATTTGTCTCTGAAATATCAAGCCATAACAGATCAGGATACAGGGGGATAAACAGAACGTAAAGTTTTACTATGTGTCATTGAGAAACACTTAAGCTCAGCCTTTCCCTTACCTGTGAGTCCTGTGTGTGTGGAAGGCTTCTTCTCTATGTGGAAGAATCTTACCCCATGTGTGCCCACCTCTGAAGAGGTGGAGGATAAGACACAGCTTTAAAATGTCTTCTAAGAATCAGGCTTTTAAAGAATCTGCATTACTTTTTTATAACTGGAAAAAAAGAATCATATTTTGTGCCTGTCCCACCCTTTCCCTCCCTCCCATTTTGTCTATTTTATGTCGGTTGGTGGAGAATACGGGAGTAGCCGTTAAGTATCCCATTCTGAAAAGTCTGGTTATCCAGGAAACAATCTTGACGGCTCTATTATAGCCGTTGTAGCAGGGTATTCCTCGCTGTACATTCCAGTTCCGTCACAAAGGATTATTTTGATCTGCAGGCGATTCTCCTTTGAGAGCGAGTGCAGTCGAGAAATGCCCTAGATACTTTCCTCTTTGCAAGGGGTCTAAAAGCAAGGAGCCTCAGTGGTGGTGATCGAACCCTGTCTCGTGGCACGCAGGAGGCCTCTGAGTCAAAGCCCCTCTCCGTGGAGGGCTGGTGGAGCCCTTCCCATGAGACCCTGGAGGCTCACCCTGCAGACGAGATGGAGGTAGAGTCACACGGAGGGCTGAGCTGGTTTAATACTGCTTCCCTCCTCGTAGCGATGAAGGGCTTCTTTCAAAGCGGAAGGTGACCCGCGCTGGCTTCTGTTCCTCCCTCCAGGTATACAAGGGACCGGAGGTTTCATTCCGCTTCACCAACATTCAGGCCAACTGTGAATACCGATTCAGGGCGTGTGCTGGCCGCCAGTATCAGGACTCCACTGGACCGCAGGAACTGTATGGGCCGTACAGTCCCAGCACAACGTTCTCATCTCAGAAGCAAGAGCTTGCCTCTCCGTGCTTGGAGCCCAGTCCCGACCTCACGAAAAGCAGGAGGAAGCCACTCAGTGACGAACAGTTTGCCTTCCTGCTCCTCCTCGTCTTCGCCACGGTGGCCATCCTGTTTGCGGTGATCATTCAGTACTTTGTCATCAAGTAAGCGGGCAACTTTTCGAGAATCGACTTCATTACTCAGCTTATTATTTTTCATATGGAAAATTTATGCCTTGGGTATTTATGTAAATTCCAAGTAAAAATGCTAGCTGGGAATGATTGTATAAGACGTACATTTCCATTTTTTTTGCTGCTGACTAACGGTGAGGCTGGGTAGGTAGAACCTCTCCCCACCACCTCCTCCTCCTCCTTTCTCCATGGAGGATGGCAAGAAGGGAGTGGGGAGCAATGAAGAGACCCCCCCCCAATTGTGGCACAGCTGTGCATCTTCTAATCAGGGTTAGCTGTTCAAAACAGCAAAACAAGCAAGTAAACAACAACAACAACAACAAAAAGCTGCCTTAACATGCACTTGTGATTCTCAGAGAGCTTGGCTTCATTCTCACACAAAGACCTTGATTCTCCAGTAGAGCAGAGCAAAGCGAAAGGGTAGAGGGGGGAAACCCCAGCCGCTTCAGCCGAAGTCACGACAAGCGTGCGACACAGCAGCAAAGATACTTCTTAAGCTTAGAACAGTACTGTACTCCAGGACCTTGCTAAAAAGCGTACCGCACCTGACATAGACCGTCGGCAAAAACGAAACCAAAACATTAATCAACTTCCGACTTTAGCGATAGTGCTGTTTTTATTTTATTTTATTCTAGCTGTTTTTAATCGTTGGGGTTCTGGGAATTAAGTCCTTTGAGAGCCAAGCGTAGCAGACAGTGCCAAGCGTTTGTAGATTTTTTTAAAAAATCAGAAGTGCTCGTGGCACCCTGAGTTGTCCGCAGACAACGGGCTTTGCATCGGTCATGTGACATGGCGGAAACCCTCCCCATTCTATGCTGTACATTTCTGAACGAGATGCTTTCTGCCGTTGGCGGCCCGACCCAGAGTTGACTCTCAGTGCTTGAGAGAACGGCAAACGCCCTGTGCTTCTGACTTGAACCGCTGCCGCGCTTTTTTTTTTCAGAGGGGGGGGGGAAAAAGCACAGATTTCTTTTTGTCTTTCATGAGAACAACAACAAAAAGTGCATTTATGATAAATGTTTCACTATTTGGCTCAAACTGAGCAAATGTTTTTTGTACTCTTCTTAACACGGAATTAAAAATAAATAAACCAAACGACGGTTCGGTTTGCCCTCCCCTCCCCTCCCCTCCGGATGCCCTGCTAACATAATCGAACGGATCAAGTCACACATCAAAAAGAATTTTTCCTTCTCAAAACGCAAGTTGAGACCTATGTTTTAAAGGAACTGTTTTGTAGCGGTTTCATATTCCATTGTCCTTCTTTTTCTTTTTCTTTTGGTGGTTCAAGTCTTATTTTTCTGTTTTGTGACGAATACTTCAGTGACAGGTCTGGCTTTGAGTGGAATCGTGTTTCTGTTTTTAGGGGGTGAATATCATGCACTACATGGGGGACTGTTCTTTGTCGAGCCTCTGAAGCAGGCACCTGTGAAGTAAAAGTAATTTCAATGTTGTCTTCAGTGCTGTTTCGAAAGCTGGGCACAAAATTCATTTCGTTTCAGGAGAAGCCGTGGCTCACCTTCAAAAAGCCATGCGTGTTTTGTTAACATTTTGCATCCTTGTGGGAACTGAACAGCTATAATACTTTACGAAACATCAGAATGCTTGTACTTGTGAGACCGTAGATGTGACATGTAGAACTCATTTTAGCTCGAGACGTGTCTGTTCCAGGCAGTAGAACATCATAAAAATGTTTCTCAGCAGGCTGTTAGTTCATAATAATAGCTTACGGTTTGTGGCATTGTGTTTGCATTTCACACCTGGGAAGAACGAACACGAACTCTCTCAGACACACACATATGCACAAATACAAACATACACAATACAACATCATATCACTTAACTATCTTAAAAGTAGATTTATGGTGCAATCTGAAATTAACCTTTTTTTTTCAAAAATGTACTCTCCTTTTTGTGATCTATTTATTTTTGATTTTTAAAAAAAATTCTGGAAAATGTATGTTTGAATGTATTGTTCTACTTGTAGCAGGACTTAAGTTAATCATTTATTGTAATGGAATCCTCTCTTCAGTGTTGGAAAGAGTTTTATACAAATGTTAGTGTCTTTAGTTCACAGGGATGTTTACAACCTGTTCACTTTCTCTCTCCTTTTTGTGATCTATTTATTTTTGATTTTTAAAAAAAATTCTGGAAAATGTATGTTTGAATGTATTGTTCTACTTGTAGCAGGACTTAAGTTAATCATTTATTGTAATGGAATCCTCTCTTCAGTGTTGGAAAGAGTTTTATACAAATGTTAGTGTCTTTAGTTCACAGGGATGTTTACAACCTGTTCACTTTCTTTCATACTTCATCACACACACATATCAGTGTTATGACAAGGGCAATAAGATGCCAAAAATACTCAGTCAGTTCTTAAGATCTGTGGTTGTTCATCTACATTTTTTTCTTCTTTGCCCACTTAGTTATTTAAAGATGCTTCACTCTCTCCAGGGAGTTATGCTGGAGTTCACAACGACTCTTTTGTTCTGTGTTAGTGGTGTCAACTTTCAAGTTCTGAGGATTTTCTCCCACCATATATATGCTTCCAAAGGTCACTGAGTGGAATGTGAAGGAACAAAGCATGTGCACATTCTCTCTCTCTCTCCTATTATATATATATATATAAACAATAGATTGTCTTCAGCTTCAGATTGTCTTCTGTTGCCAAAGCGTGTTTTATTTTTCTGTTAAACTTGGACAAAAAAATGATTTGTTTTTTTTTGGGGGGGGATATCTCATTGAATTGGCAGTAGTATGTTAGATACATTTTTTAAATTAGGTTTTTCTGAATAAATACTAACCAAAATTATGACTTCCTAGAAAGTTAAAAGTTGAATTTGTATTTGTAATTGCCACAAATTGTTTAATGCTTTCCAGTAAACCTTCTGGAAATATAATGTAGAATTTTATATTTACAACTATACATTCCAGATTGATGTACTCTAGTGGCATTAATGTATTAGATCTCCTTTTCTCTTGTATTGTATTTTTTTGCTGTACTTCATACTTACGTTAAACCTGCCAGGCATATTACTAAATTGTAACTATAAATAGATAATATATTTAATATGGCCAATAAAAATACAAAATTGTTCACATCAGGATTTGTGGAATCGTTCTGCGTGGTAGTAATGCATGACAGAGGGCTGCACAACCTGTATTCATGTAGAGGACAACCAGTTCTACTTCTGATTATAATAGAGCAGAACCCCTGTACCCACGGGGGATCAATTCCCACCCTTCCTACGGATGCTGAAAAGCGTGGAGAACAGCGAACGCTATACCATGTTTTCCCGCAAATAAGACAGGGTCTTACATTAATTTTTGCTCCAAAAAACACATTAGAGCTTATTTTCAGGGGATGCTTTGTTTTTTCATGTCCAACAATCTACATCTACTCAAATACAGTCATGTTATCATCATGTGGTTGCTCCACAAGGGTGGAGGACGGGTTTTCACTTAACTGGGGCTTATGTTACAAGCATCCTGGCTTATTTTCAGATTAGGTCTTATTTTTTGGGAAAACAGGGTAGACAGTGTGGTCTCTGGCTCTCTCTAGTGACCAGTTCCGGTAACTTAATCATTATATATATATTTGGGAATTTTTCTTTTAATAGATTTAATATTAAGTGATAAGCGAGTCACTTACTGATCCCATGGATACGAGGGGTCCTACTGTCATCAAGTGCTGTCAAGTCATTTCTCATAGCAACCCTCTTCAGGATTTTCCAGGTAGGAAATACTCAGAAGTGGTTGACCGTTCCCTTCTCCTGGGGGGCGCCCTGGGACGGTGCAGCCTTCCCAAGGCCACATGGGCTGGCTCTACTGGCTGGAGGGAAATCAAACTCCCAGCGTCTGACTCCACAGAGAGAGGCCTCACTCAGTGAACTATCCCAACACCTCTGGGTTCAATGAGCAAGTTCCTGGCATCGTTATGGATTAGAGGAAGGCTAGCCAAAATTCCAGGTAAGACAGAGGAAACGTCCTCTCAAGCAGCCACCTTCCCAAACCACTTCCCCTCCCGCAATATGGACTCCCAGTTCCTATCGCTACTAACTTGTACGGCCAGTGGCAAGGGATGATGGGCACTGAGGTGAAACACAGATGATCAATAGTGGTTGCTGTCTGGTCTATTGAAAAAAGCATCTGGTGGAGAAACATGCAGCCCTAACCTAACAAAAGGCTTGCAGCTCAACCCACCTGCAGCGTCCCCCTCGCCCAGCAAGCTACCTGTCGAGGGTTTGACACCTCTTTGCTGAGCTGGGAAAAGATGGTGTTGGTACGAGATGTCACATGAACTTCTTTTAAACAGACTAAGCAAGTTAATACAACCCTTGATAGATCTGCTCAGGAATCAATGGTTACTCCCGGGTAGCGCAGCCTAAGCTTGCGTTTTTACTTTATTAGGGATTTGGCTGATTTGGAAGAAGAAGAGAGGAGAGGAGAAAATGGGGTAAGGAGAAAAGAGGCACACAAAAAAATTCATTGACTTGTCTAAAAGTCTCACTTCAGTAGGAAAGGTGTTACACAACAGCTGCCCCCCTGTAGGTTTATTCCTTACAGGCTTCCTTAACTGCAGATTATTAACAAACACCAGACAATACCAGCCTGTCCTTGACAAGGTATCTGAAACTGTGCCTTTCAGATAAACCCTGGAGGTCAAGAACAGGACATTTCAAATGACTGGATCCATTCCACATTGCTACTTTCCCCAACGGAGCAGGGACGGGACAGATGGAAAGTCTGACTCTCTGCAGGGTGCCAGGATTGGGGAGACGGCCAGATGACATTTCCTGGTTATAAACCTTTGTGTTAGCGGACTATGACTGAACTGAAGCATGCACGGCCCTTCTACTGAACTGCATCGGGTTGAGTAACTTGTCATCCTCCAGATGTTTTGAGACCCCCAAATAACAATCAGGGCCAACCATCACAGGCAACAGTGAGAGATGTAGTCCAGAACAACCAGAGACCCATACTCCCCCCCCCCAATCTCTTTTCTAGCATTTAAAAATGCAAAAAGCTGCAAGATTGGATTTAAGGATGTGCATTTTTAAAAAAATAACCAAATAGAAAGCAAATCCATGGGAGGAAATCCATGAGATTCTGTTCTTTAAAAAAAAACAGGCTTATAGTTGTGTACTTTTTTGCATTAGAGTTTCTGACCTGTATAGGCGAAATTCATAAACAGGTAGTAAGAGGAAAGCAGCACGCAGTGAAACAAAGATTGTGGCTGAAATCCTGTCACCCATGGCGTAGCACAAAATTATTTCTGCAGAGGTTCACAGGGAGTGACGCCCGGCTATCCCACGGGGTCTGATTTGGCCACTGCCCTCCCACCTTTGGAATTCCTTCTCGGATACAACTTCCACCTTGGTGGAAATGGTTGCAATGGGCTGCATAACTTCAAATTACGTCTTAAGTAGTTAGGCAAAAAGGGTACACCTTGCCCCCAAGCTGTGGAACCACTGCCTGAGCAACATCACAGAACCTTAGTAAATTTCAAATTAGTTTTCTGCAGCATGTGAACACCGCAGGCATCATCAGGAGGAGGAGACGTGTCAAAATCTCTTTCAGTGCATTGGCAAAACTAAAAGGGAGAAGAGGCAAAAAGCCCTCACAATATTTTAGCTTCCCCACTACCACCACTTCCTTTTTCATTGGCAAGGAAGACATCGGACAGAAATCGCCAGGGGGGAGAAAAAGGGAAACAAGTATTATTCTTACAATTGAAAACCAAACCCCAAAAAATAGAAATAGAAAAAGAAAATAGAAAGAAAAATGAAAGCATTGATAAAATTGAGGCGTCTTTCCCCCCATCTCCTTTATAATAACCTTTGAACTGCAGAAGTGGAAGGGACCCTATGGATCATCTAAGTCCCGCCCCTGTCAGGGAGACCCAGTGGGGGAATTGAACTCCCAACTTCTGGCTCCACAGCCAGAGACCTCAA